CACTGAGGGATATTCACTTGTTTCCCTTATTCAGGATGTCAGTGATCTTATATTAAGGTCTTGTTTTTAGTTGTTAAAACTGGGATCTTTGATAAGTATAAATGTAACTAAATTAAACTGGAGAAGAATTCTTTATCAAATAACTTTTGATGAAAGCAGTATAAGACTTATATTTCAATGACAGAGAACATAAGATGGGATGTTCATGTTTGTTGAGAAAGATGGGTTAAAGTCTGACTGGTCAAACTTCACAATTCGGCGCATTAAATTTTGATGGTCTACCTCCAGATTACATACAACCTTGAAAGCTTATAGAATAACTGTTGCTGTATGTTTTGATGTATCAATCTAAACCTTATTTAGTTGGACAATATATTTACGTTTTTACTTCCATACATCAGTGGTCTTGCTTACTCGTTGGTAGTTAGGTTTCGTATCATTATTTATTAATAAGAAAATCTCTGGATCAAATAGGATATTATGTATATTAAATCAGTATTAAGTTGTTTTGCATCTTATGATATGCCTAATATTGTTTTTAGTTAGGTACAGCGAATTTTATCTAAAGCGTACACTTCAGAAAGATTAATATAACACATTCTGTATAAGGTTATCAAGGGTCAGATTTTAGTGTACATATAAATGATTGTTTTGGCAAATGTTATCCATTAATTTATAGTAGTGCTGGTGACTTTATCAACGGATATCTCTTTTAATGTTGCGAAAAACATTGCGAAATAATTTGCACTACTATAAACAGATAAAAACTTTATAATCTAGTATTATTTCAATAACTATGTTTTTCGGTCACTGATGGGTTTTATAGAGTCAGTTTTTAATCAAATTATGAACCACTGCTGGATTGATTCTTAACAGATTAAGTATTGTTCACTGAAAACAACCGACATCATGAGCAAATGCTCAATTTAAAGCCTGACTTTAAAACGTTCCAGTGAATTGAATACATACAATCCACTAAAACAAAATATTACATTTCAATCCAATGTTTATGTAAGTTTCATATAAGGAATAAATATATTGCTGCAGCATATTTAAAAGTCGATATCGCTTCTGATGTCATCTTTCGTAGTCAACCTGGTATTCACCATGTTATTGTACTAAACTACGAATAACTTACACTGTGATTATCTGATCGCACAAGATAAAATTTAGAAAAATCATTTGTTGGTCATCTTTTTGTTTATGAAAAGACAATGAGTAAGATGGATTGTGAATGTCTTTACCATGATTCCTATTCTTTTGATGAATCGATGGACGTATGAATTCGTGCCTCCGAATTTTAGCAAGCTGTCAACTCGCAAAAGTTCAGTGGTCACGGAAGTGGTCAACGAAAATTTAGGAAATTTATTACATCTTTCGTTTCACTTAAAAACTACAATAAGATACAAAGGATAACAAAGAGAGTTGAAATAACTGACTCATTCATATTTAGATTAATAAAACTACATTTTTATTATTACTTTGCTGACTAATCCAAACAAATGAACAGTCATTAAGCCTTTATCATCAATCGACACAATTGAATAAATCATGACCTTTTAAAATGATTGTTGACATCAAATAGAACTGCTTCTCTTTATCACTTATTCTCCTCATGCAACTGACTACTCATAGGTGCACAAACATATGCATACTAATATAACTTACATATATCGGAATATAATTGTTGCGCATGCTTATGTCAGTAATCACAACTGACAAGAAGTAATCTTTTTAAATTTTTAAGTCTGTCATTTATTTCCCTAAACAGCCTAACAGAACATAGAAGTATTCGGTAACTACTGTTTCTTGTTATTAGGAAATTATGGCGTTGAAATGGAAAGATGACAAAATATAAAGTCCTTTTTAAAAATAACATAAACTTGATGTCTATTTAAGTAATGATTTACAAACAGTGCGTATTTCAGGCTAATGATGAAACATTCCAATTTTAAGTAACTGGTATAACTAGCTTTTGGGAAATATTGTTTGTATGTGTCATGTAATGGCGCCATAACAAGGTTTCAGATTTTTTAAGGTTAACTTACATATGTAACATAGTAAGTGTAACTGAGTGGCGCCATTCCACATATCAACAACATGCAGTGCTTCCTGCTATGCATTCAAACACAGGGTCATATTTTAAACTAGTTAGAAACAGGGTGTGGGTAATATTTCATCTTAACTTTATTGTATTAGAGTTTATTATAGGTATGATTATCATCCTTTTCACCGGTCATCAATATCATTATCACAGTAATATTTCTATGGTATTTTGTAAAGTCTAGTCTACGCAACTTCTCTATGCTCTTCTTTTTCTTCAGCATCTACCCCTACCCACAGTCTCAGTTGTAAAGATGATCTGAGAATTAACTTGGTTTTAAGAAAATACAAAATATCGTTATAACTAAAGCTTGTGGTCAGCTGTCATATTACTTCGCAACTATCCTGAAATTTTAAGCTGATTAGCAGGCGCGTATTGCAACAAATGTCACAAAATAACTGGCAAACTATTGTTAATCAGGAAAACACCGTCATTAATTTTTTATCTTAAAAAAACTGACTTCCAAAATAAGTCGTTTTAATTAAATTTAACTTACTGGTTTCAAATAGTAATAATAATTAGAGAAATTTTTATTTCATGAATTCCATGTTATTAACGTGTCGTCGAATCAGTCCTAAATACATAGCTTCATATGGTATTTAATGAACGTTATGCATAATGAAATATTATTAATAACCCCTTTAAGATAGACAACTCACTATAATGAACGCTTTCGGAGGAATAATTTGCTCGTAAAGTTTTTCCTAGTATAGCCATAGGTTATAGATTTCAGTCTTTATGGACAATTCATGTTTGACCATTGTCAATGAATGGGATTTCGAATAAAAAAATATTATCCCTAGTCTAGATTACGTTAATCTGGTTAGTGACTGCTGCATATAGTTCCCAATCCCATAGGTTGGTAAGCAGTTTTCGACTAAAATGGTGCTCTGGAATCCTTTTACATTTACTATTGACAGACAGGTAATACTGTGTTTCAGAGGAAGTTGTGCCGCAATCTTGCGAGTGTGTTTCTCGTAACTACGATATTCGTTAATCATGATGTTATTCCTGTTTTTATTTGATCATATCTAATTAATAACTGTATATCCTATTTGGAAACCCTAAATAATGTACCATTCAAAATCGGATATCAGTTTTGGACTTTTGGATACCATAAATTAAGAATATGATAAACATGAGGGCGTTGAAATTGAATGTGAATACTCCCTTAATTTTAATGAGAAAACCTTTATAACAAAAGGGTACCCAGAAATGCGATTTTTTAAAGTTGCACCTCCATAGAATATAATTTATGATCACTATACAAGTATTTTTGTGCCATTTCTTATCAAGAACAGTTTAGCATGTTCCACTTTCATAACGGTAAGTGAAAAAAATTACTTGTTGAACCCTTTTATTAATCAAATTTAGACTAGTATACTTCTCTCCAGTGCACATGTTTTATATGAAACTGAATGATGTTTCCCAGATTCTCAAACCAGAGTTGATGGAAACTAAAGCCTTCAACCGAATGACTGCAAGCTTACAGCTTCTATCACTAAGCCTTTACCAGACTCGGCTAAACACTATGCGTGTTGCCTATTACGTCTCACTTTCCATGTCTACTGGATTCTTTTAAACAGGAATCATGCTTTTTGTTAGCTTATAAGCGCATATTAAATTACACGTCTGTTTATAGTGATGATAGATATACAAACAAACAAACAAAATGACATAAAAACTCTCTCAAGGAGTTCATTGGTGTAAATCCTTGCATTTCATTATAGTATCGTATAGAAAAATTAACGCGAATAATCAGATATAAGACAACCACAAATAAGGTTTGTGGAGTGGGAACATTAATTAGGGATGGTTATATGCTTTAAATCACGGTAAAGATAAGTAATTTACTGATTTACTACCGTGTTAATAAGCCTTTTTAACCAGTAATTCGCATAGTCTTGGAAACCCTGTTTAGAAGCAAAACATCATTTTGCCGTTGTCAAAAGAACAGTTAGGAACGAGATAAAAAGATGCTCTGTTTTGACGTGATGACTAATAGTTATGTTTCATATTAATCGTATATTATTCATTATCAAACTTTGTAGTTTGGATTATGGTGTAAATATTCCAGAGAATCGCTCTCTTAAAATTGTGGACAAAAATCATATTTTTCCTCTTACAGCTCCAGCTAATCAAAAGACGGAATTCCAATCTTGACTAGGGTATTTATCTGCATAGTGAATGGGATAAAATGAGAATACAGTCGTTAACCATAAATCTATTTACTAATTTATTAGTAACGGGGCACTGAATTGTCCGAAAAGTAATAACACATGGTCTTTGTTAAACAAGATAAAAAAGAAGGGTGCGATACTACTCGGGAGGAAAAACACTAAAATGTAAACCATATGAAACGACTTGTACAAATGCACAAATCATGCTGTAATAAATTTTCAGAAAATACGGATATTTTTTAACAATAAATGGTTTCTAGAGATGTGTAGTACATGTTCCAGACGATTGGGTTAAGGGTTTGATCCCTACTGAGGTTGTGGGTACGAAGTGTTGTGGAGTTCCATACTAGAATGAATCAGTTGTCCAGTTCTTATTGACTTTCACTGGTAATCATAATGAGGTCAATCTATAACGATTTTCACCTACATGTGTTAGCCGTAAAAGGATTTGAGGCATGGTAGATATGTGATAACTTATGTTTTCTGTTCAATGCAGTTTTTACTCATTCGAATGAATCCACTGTCCATATATCTGATCTTGATAATCACTTACACTGTGGGTTTGTAGATATTGTTCACCTGATATTTTCAGCATATCGATCATATGTGGTCTGGATTGAGCTACGTTTACAAAGGTATTTTGAAGGGTGCATTTCTACACTAAAAAAGGGCATTACAACATTTTATTCTTTCTTTTTTTGGTTTTTAATATTTAGCCCCAAATAGTTATAATATTGATGATGGATTGACATATCGCCTAGATTTTTCACAACTTGGAAAATGTGTGGGATTCGGCTCAACAGCTAAACGTATGAATGATAAGTTAGTTTTCGGTGGAAAATTTAGCGGTGGATTAAGTGACATTCCTGGCCCTGGACAGTATAATCCACAAAAATGTGATGGAAAATATACTTCGAAAGCTGTTGGAATTCCAAAGGCAAAAAGGGAGATATCGATGCCTCAATCGGTAGGAAGAATCATTAGAGCTCTTTTTTGATAAATCTAATTAAACTATTTTAAAATGTTTTCAGTATATAACGGAATGTCGTTCTTTAGCGTTTTTGTTTATTTTCTCCATTTTTTATCATCACTAATTTTTTTTAGAAGGATAAGGTATTGAGGTGATTGGACTCAATATTTATAAATCGGTCACTATAAATAAGGTTTTTTGTAGAATCGATGAGAAATACATGGTTCTTCTTTACGTGTGTAATTTATAATTATAATATAGGTGAGCGCCACAGTTTATGTTATGTTTGTAGTTAGCTCTAAACCAGTAACCAGTGAACCAATAATATCATTTGATGAGGGAGTCGTTAGTTGATTGATTGTTGAAATATAATGTACAACGTGTGTATCCAGGCACCGAAAGGACGATCTTTGTATTAAGTCAGTCAGCGATTTTGAAGATCGTAAAATAGCTTGTGGTGATACATTTTATGGTACCCTTAAGACAAATACAACGGTTTTTGTATATAACTTTAACTTGCAATATATTTACATTCTTAAGTTTATTGGCATTACTTTTTTGTCGCTAGAAGTTTGATTTTTGAGTAAGTAGGGTTTGCTACAAAAGTCGAAATTGTAATCGGATGACAACCAATATCCTAAACTGTTTAATTTCTCATGTACCAGTAATTTAGATATTTTAGTAAGATTTCGGAGTAAATACCTGTGATTCGTATATTTATGTAGTAATATTATGCCACGTTTTAGTCTGTTTTTGTTTTCAAATTTTTAGTCAGTGCCCCCACCCGGCACATATGATTTTGGAAAATCTTTTGATGTGACACAATGCAAACGTATTCCCGCTGTACCTCGTACTATAGAAGGTAGGCAAAGAAGAAATTGCTTCTCAAATACTGCAGAAAGATTCGGTAAACATTCTGCGTTGGGTCCAAAAAACCCTGATGTGCCAGGCAAGCGATATTTTTTGAAGATCTGTTCAAAGTTAATATCAAATATACTGTTGTATATAATACAGTATATATGATATTTTCCATAAACTGTAAACTGGCTAGTCAGTGGAACTTAAAAAAAGACAAGCATATTCGAAATCAAATTTCTCTCATGTAAATATTACATGACCATTATAGTGTCAACAAAACTAATTCCCTAAAACATGGTATTTTATTAACAGTTTGTTCGGCAGTTATAACTTGAAATCCATATACTACGTTTTCCAACCTTTGTATACACAATTTAGACCAGTTATTTTGTAAAAAAAAGCAATCGTGTTCTCATATTGCTATTTTCCAGGAGTAAATGTGTAGAAGTCAGAAAAAATATTGGATGACCAAAACTAGCATTTATAATGCATATGACTACCGAAGAAAAGTAAATAAATATTATCTCTATAAAATAGTTACAACAGACCCTAATGAGTGCATCGTCTAACGTTTGAAAGAGTATAAAGTAGGACAGAATGACATTATATTTAAATACAAATAAGACCTTTTGGCGTTAATTACAAACTGTTGTATCAGTCTTGAAGTTCTGATTTTCACAAGCAAGAATGTCTACTAGCACAACATAATTTATTAGTGCTGTAAAACTAAAGAGCACTATGGAATTCTCTGTTAGATGATTTATTTTGTTAAATTCCGTATGTATTTCAACTAAGCTCTCATTCTATTTTGTTTTATATTTAATCCACAAATCCAAATCCATTTGTCCGTATAGTGAAGTTTATTTTGTGACCTCTCAGTAATTCCTTCTTTTTGTTATATATTCCAAAATTTCATTTTACAGACGTAGATGCATACCATTAGCACAGATCAGATTAGGTTTGCTTATTATTTTTCTAAATCATTTTATACTATGATCGTATTTCGTAGTAGAGTTTTCCACAAGATCATAGCTTGATGATACAAAGTGTTTCATCAATTCAGTGTTGGAAATGACGAAAAAGAGATAGAACGAGTCCACCTGAATGCATCATAACTATTGCACGCTTTACTTTGTTTGGATAAACAGAAAACTACACTAACAGCTGATACTGAGGCAATCCATTCAACTTTTTATTATATATTATTTCGAAACTGTGTCATCCACATCAGATCTTCCAGTTTCCTTTTGCACAGTAAACTCTAATAAAAAAACTGTTCAGAAAAGTGAATTTTTAAAGTTAACTTATATTTAGTTAAAATTAAGCATTTTAGGAGTAATTCACTTGCATTCTAGGTTCTCAAAATAATAGAATGTTAGAATATTAATTAAGTGGGTTCACCTACTTGGATTAAGTTTGTAATACCTGAGTGACTTTGAAACAAATCTGGAAATAAGAACGAAGCTCAGAAGTTACTTCCTATTGGAACACCTTATGGTATATGCAGAAAACAAGATAAGTGATTGACAGAATAGTAATTTAAAGGCTATTAAGTGACTTTGGCCAGAGAAATGGATCAAAGATATAATGTTATCCTATTTTCGAGAAAATGTTGTGGATTAATTTCATATTGAGTGATCACAGCAAAATATTATGGTTGGTAAAATTATTTTTGAGTGTTTTAATAATTGTTGAGAATAAATGTACATAATGTGTCTCCACTGCTGATAGGTCCAGCAAAATATTATATATTGGAAAATAAACCTCAAAAAGGGAAGTTTGTTTATCAGTCGGAGAGATTCAAAGAAACAGAAAAAGAACAACTTCCTGGTCCAGCAGATTACGAGGTAATGATAATAAAACAATTTAGTAGTTGGTATATCTCAATGAATAGAAATTTCAGTTTCTTAAGTTTCATGGCTTAGTATAAACCACTTGCTAAAAGTTAAACAATAAATTACTTGATTTGGTTATTTAGTTATTAACTTCGAAGCAGAAATTCAAATTTCAACTCATTGGAATACCACAAATATACCCTTAATTTGTTACCAACTTTCTACTCAATGCTCAATTTATTTGAAATTATCGAGTCAAACTCTTGTGTTGTTACCTCATTTAACTGAACTTTTATCTTGTCAATAACAATAAAGATTAGAATACCATTCACCTTTGATTGGATACATTGTAAGTAATGGTGCACTTTTAAGCAATCTCATAAATTTTCATAAATATCAATACTGTTGAAGAAAAATACTTTAAGGTTTAGATGACTAATATTCGTATAAATGATTTTTAAGTACACTAAGAGCAGATAAAAGTTAATGAAATAGTATTTTAAATAAAATCAGACATGATCGATTGTCAGTGTTTAATTGATCTCAAGAATTTCATTTCGCGATAATAATAGAAAATCTTTTCACAATGAACTAATTTTCGATAAACCACCAGTGACGATCATACATTATTTAGTGACTAGTTTCAAAATGAATTTTTGAAGTTCAAGTGACGATTAGCATTCAGCCATGTTGGAAGTAAGACAGTTATTATTTTGGATTACGATTGTGCTGTGTCACCAAAGGATTGAAGTTAGTAATGTAGACCACTTGCTTTATAGATAGTCGTTTAACGTTAGTGCGCTAACTAAACGATCTGAACTTTATAGGTTTGGTTTTAAAAGACCGCGTAAATGATTAGGTTGAAAAGTCTCAAACAAGCGAAAAACAGTTGTTCAGTGCTTTGTTTTTTTCAGAGGTTCTTTAACTTGTATCGGTCCGTCAAGAAAACATTCCTGAAATTTTCTATAGTCAAATATTTGAATGCTTTTTTTTGTACTGGTAATTAAATGAAACAAAAACAAGATAATTCCAAACACAATACTTCAGAAACAACATGATTTAAGATAACCGGTAAAAGTTAGTAAAACTAGTTTTCCAATCGTAAATTACAACACACAAATAAAGATATTTGGAAAGTATCACTTTTTGATTAATTTAGAAAACTTAGTTAAAGAAATTAACTTAATTTTTTTATTAGAAATTATATATGAACTCGAAAATAATTGTGGAGGCAAAACACTGTGGATCTCCTGAATTTTTTATAAATAAACATCTTGTACACAGAATTTTCTTTATTTTTAAGTTCATCAACTACATTTGATGAATGCATTACGTGAATATATTTCTGATTTTATTTTTAGAAAAAATAAATATATAAAGATATAAAGAACAGAGGTGACAAACTAAACAGAACAAATCAATTCAATTTTATTGCATTAGATTATAGTCTCCCATCTATAATTTACACTCTCTAACTATCAAATAACATTTTATTGAAAAAAGATTAGCCAGTTGGTAAACTGAATATTTACTAACCAATTAAATTGAAGTTTAGATCAATGAAAATAAATTTGATACAGTATTGAATATCATCGTAATGCAGTATATATTTGTATATTAATAAATATAATGTAGAATGTCGAAAAACGTAGACAAGGTTATTTAGTCGAGTTCAATAAAAAAACGATTTGATAGTGACTATTAAGAAAGAAATTTATGAGATTTGATTATATTTAGGAAAACCTGGTTAAAGTAACCATGGGATCATTTGATAGTCATAATTAAAAGATATTAGATAGATAATTGTGAATATTTCAGCTTAGTAAACAGCCTAAATAATTCAAATATCTAATTTCAACCCAAGGTTGTTGCAATTGTATGACTGGAACTTTGGTGAATTTTCAAAAAAGTAATTATCAATATTTTCCGTTACTTTAATATGGTTACCTATGATTTTACTTATAAAAATAATAGTATTAGCTTAAGTTTGAAAGTTAAGACCTGTCTACGCGGAAATATATAATGACTTGATCTTCTCAAAAACCTATCGGTCCCAAAATAAAGTGATGGAAAATACATATGATAGTAAGTGGTTGGGAGTGGTAGGCTGTAAACCATGGACCTGAGTTTCGTGCTAGTTGGCATTCGTCAGAAAAAGATTCTTACAAGGGACTGATGCTCCTTCTGGCATTCGAACATGAGTAGCCTCTGTACAGAAAACTCTCTGCCGTTGTGATAAATTGTTACCTTAGTATTCATTATGCAACTCTTTACAGACATGTGGTTTGTGTATAACTAAGTGTTCAAGTATATTGTAATGATGAAATTTTATCATTTCACTAAAACGTTTTAGAGTAAAAAGGATATTCATTGCAAAATATTTTATCAGAACTTTTATACAAATAAATGTATTTATTAATCAATAGCTTTCTTTTACTTTATTTCATCTCTAACAGTGAGGTAATTGTGCAAACATGTGTAGATACAAAATCATAAGTTCATACACTGACTAGATAAAAAAGTTGGTTAATTTCCTGTCCATTTTCTTTATCAACATAAGAATAATATAAAGATTATAAAAGTCCTAGTAAGGAAAACTTAATTTCCTTTCTTGATTTAAAAAATATCTTTGAGATGGATATAATACACATAGGTGATTTTTTTAAAACATGGAAAACAGATGTTGCTATCATTACTTGCTATTTTTCCCTTCTATTATTCAACTGTGGAATTCAATAACATGCACAGACATGTCCTATATAATTCCAGACATAAACCAGAAATATTTTTAATGAATCTTTAGAAGTTATTCAGTTTTATTTCTTCGGCATATCGAACAAATATTAAACAAAAGATCGAAGGGAAATATTTCATGTTACTTAATTCTAATAAGCCTAAACACGTTGCTCACATGGCAAAACTATCTCATGTATTTATTTCCATAGTAATAAACTCTTGGTTTTCACTATATATTTCTTATCGATGTATCTAGATAAATGTTCAAGTTTTCAGAGCCAATGAAATTCAGTCGATTGATGGACTTGCTAGGTGCACAAACTATGTACTTTTTTGAAATAGTGCTGTATAACTAGCAGTAAACCATTAAGATCCTTCAATAACTGTTGGTGAATCACTACTTTCGGACTGTAGACGAAACCAATATTTAAGAAATTCATAATTACTCTTAGCAAACATTATCTTTAGCGTCACAATTCCTTTGATCCTCTTTCCAAATTCGTTTCAAACTAAGTTTAGCTTACAAATTGGCTAACGCTATCGATTTCAATCCTTGAAACCCTGATAGTCTCAGTGCTTTTATGACAGCAGAAACATTGTTATTTCTCAATGTCAACAGGAATGTTACACGAAGGAAATCATGTTTCTTAATTTTATTTATCTAAGATGTTTTTAATAAAGTACATATCTTTAAGCATTCACGTCTTCTGAGTAACTTGTGTAATGAATATATGTTGAAATATGATGCGTTAATCTTTGATGTTTACAGATTGTTTAGTTTTACTGACTAAAATAAAAATTGGGACAAAAAATATTGTACCACCATGAATTGAACTATAACTAAGGGGTTTTAAAAGAACTACGAAAATTTAAATCACTTATCAAACATAGCGGGAGTATGAATAAATCCAAAGATATACGTTTCAAAATTTAAAACTACTCAGTTTCCACACTTTCACTTATATTTAATGGTCGCAAGAGTTATTTTTTCATACATTAGATTTGATGTCATGTTGTGTTACCTATTAAATGTCAATATGTGTGTGCCGTATATTCTTTTTCTATTCAGAATATTGTTGACTTGTATTCATGTAAATATTCTAATTTTTAAGGCATTACTGAAATGTCTTACGAAAATGTGAAATCCTGATGTTTATTTGATAAGTTTCACATTATTCTTGCACTCAATCAAGTACATAGAAATCGTACTTGATATGAATAAGTACATAATGATAATTAATTCATGTATTGTTCGTTATCTGAAAATGTATGCTTTGTAATACTTGTCATTATTACTTTTCACTTCAGTTAGTTCGAGACAAACTCAAATGCAAATAAGATTTACCGTGTTTGAGATATATGAAAATTTATCCAAGTTATCTGCAAGATGATAAAGTTTCTTATCCAGACACTTTTTTCAAAATATTTGATTGTTTTACGTTTGGATCATAAGCCTCCACATGTGAACATGTATGCAGATAAATATCTGAGTACATATGCATAAGTAATACATTATATTTTATATTTTGTTCATCTCTTACTTTGTCCATTCATCTCTGTTTCATTTTTCGGTTAAATATCTACATAAACATATTAGTTTTGAATCCAAAGATGGATAGGAAATGATAAATAAATCTAATACGTAAGCCTATACAAGAAATTGAGTCATAATAATAATTTATGTTTCAAATGTGAAGTAAATATAAATAAATCCACATTCTTCATTTATGCATGCATCTAAAATTTATGTAAACTAATAGTTCTGTATTGTTTCGAATATATGGTGTTTATTCTTCCAATACTTCAGAAGTAGACAAAGCGATGAAGAATTGACAAAATTGATATGAAAAAAAACAGTTAAACTTGCATGGATGCATTAACCAGCTGGTTAACAGATGTCTTTTTTTTAAAAATATCCCCTTCTCTTGCTATATATCTATCACTTTGTTACACTTTAATGTATGCTTATGAATATAGGGTGGTGTCAGCGGTGTGTTTAGTAAATATATAACTACCAGAAACTTGTTGAGTTACACTAAAAAATTTTAAACTATCTTTCTTTAGGATAGAGCAAGTGAAGGGATAATAGATTCACATTTGGATCACGAACGATTATGTCATGTAGTACATTTATCATCAATATTTTTTAGTTCAAGTAATTTCTTGTCGTCAACAATTAAAAACAAGTTCCGACTTTCTGCATGTTTTTTTTAAAAGTCTTTCTATACAAATTTTTATTAACTAGCGGTTATTTTGTGTAAAAAATTTATTTTATA